CCATCGCACTCGGGTCTTTGATGAACTTTAATGGCCAATGTATCAGATAAAGATCAAGATATTCCAGCCGAAGATTCCTGCAATTCAAACAAATTTACATACAATGAATGAACCAAAAAAATAAAGTAATAAGTAGCATCCAAGGTTCAAAAAACTGCTACTCGAGGCTCGTTTTGATGGCTGGAATGAGCAAATCTTGTTCAGCAAAAGTACATAGCTTGGAAGTGATAAAGAGTTCATCTCGGGACTTGATGGGGCCAATGTTGATAGCCTCAGCTATTGCTTCTCCGAGTGGCTGCTCCGACCTGTAGATGAAAGCCATATCGAAATGGTGATATCCGGCTCCGATTGCCTCGACAACTGCTGATTTCACTGTGGCTGCATCAGCCGGTGGATACGAAGCAGTCCCCATGCCAATGTCTGGCATGGTTAAGCCGCTACCAACTGAAACCATTGGAACTTTATTCTCCATAATTTTTTAGTTTATGATTACACAGCTTAATGATTGAAAATCATCACCTAAATAGAGGCCTAATCACACTTCACCATCCAGACTAGTTATTTAGATGTGTAATATTTTAAAGGGTTAATTATCGGAATTTTGTTTTTTACTGTATATTTTTGTTTACTAAATTAAATATATATATGTTTCGGTTACTTATATTAATTTATTGAATTTTAGTTACTTACGTTGTATTTTTATAATCACGCCGTTAATTCATGTTAGTTAGTTTAATGACATGATATATTAGTCAAAAACAGTTAATTTTTAATTTGACCCCTAAACTTTAGATAAAATACTAATTTAACTTAAACTTTATATACAATATCATTCTTACCCCTAAACTTTAGATAAAATATCAATTTTGATCTCTAAATTTGACCAAAGTCTTTCGTCGTCGTCATCTCTCACTGTCATCGTCGTTGGTCATTGTGGATCGGCATCACTGCATCGGCCACCATCATCAATTGTTAGACCCTAAAATTTTCAATTCACTCTTTTTTAACTTCTTGAACGTGAATTAAAAAAAAATATATGTTAGACTCAATAAAATCTAACATAAAATCCTCCTACTTTTAAAATTAAACTAAAATAATAAATTTACCATTGATATCTTTTTAAAAATATGGAGACCAAACAATTAAATCTTATATCATAATTAAATCCATAAAGCTTTGATTATAATATTATTATATTATATATTTTTTGTTATGTTTATAATATTAATTATAAATTTTTAATATTTGTAAACCCTAAGGCAACACAGGACGAAGAGGACAGAGATTACAAGATAAAAACGAGTGAATCAGTAGCTTGATCGGAGAATCAAAGCGAAAAGAAACGAAACTGAACCTTTGTTTGGATTTTCTGACAAGCAAAAACCTCCGATTGCAAATATGTGCGGCAAAAAAAGTAAACGACGGCGAGTGAACGACCATAACTTGAAACTGGCTCGATCTTCCGGCGGATCTTAGATTTTGAGTAAGGTAACACCGGAGGCTTTTCATCGCAGATCTACAAGATTTTGAGCAACGACTAGTGTCAATTAAATGGTTCAGCCTTTGCATATTTTTCTTTAACGTAAAAGCAATCCCAACTAAGATTTGTCTCATATAAATGGTCAAATTACACCATGCAATGCAATTGAAAAATTCTCCTTTGGTCACATTTTGGGTCAATTCTCATCCAACTAGGCCCAACCTAAAATCTAATAACCTAATTGTTTTTTGAATCGAATTAACGCGTGTTCCAATCAACATGAGAATTGAGAATGTTGTCATAAAATTTGGGTCGTTATAATTATGATTAATTTTAGACCATGTAAAAAAATAGGATAAACTATACACTAAATATTATTAAGCGTTAAGTTTAGTGTTGATTTTACTATCAAATTTTAAATTGCTTTAATAGTAGCATTGAATTTAATTTAGGCTTTAATTATAAAAATGGACTATTAATAAATTAGTAATCAAATGATACGAGCAATTGGTGTTGACGTGGAAGTTAAAAATTTTACTTTTTATTCCCCCTCATCATCTTCTTCAATAAAGCTATGATTTTTTTGGGCTTATTTTTAGTGAATTTGTCATTCTCCAGCATCTTTTATAATCATCGTAGATGCTAGTGAACTCATCGTCTCATCATCCTCTACTAATTTATCAATTTAAATTTTCTTAAAATCTCTTTAGAACTCGTGAAATTAAACAAAATAAGATATATCATTTTTTAGGGTTTGGGACTTTCTTGGATTTGAAATGTTCTTAGTGTTTGTTCGAAAATCCGAACATGATAAGCATTCACGAATAACATAACTTAAAATTAGCATAGTTAGATGATTTTTGGAGGAGATCAGGATATTAGAACGACAAACTTTTAAATAAATTTTCTTCAATTTTAAGTAAGTTTTGTAGAAAACCAATCCGATAAGGAAAAGGATAAATGAATAGAGAATGATATTGATCACCCCAAACTACATTTATAATCTACTGTCAATCAAAACTAAAGCGATGTCTTTTTTTTAGTACATTATATACGTGATATAACTATTTTATTTAAACATTATACAAAAATATAAAAAAATTGTCACAATAACAATATTAATTTCATTTTAAATAAAAATATATTGATAATTTTGCATTTCAATTAACCAATGAAAAAACTAATACTAGTATAGATTTTAATCTCTCTAAATTGAGTGGATAATTTAGGACAAACCCTAAAATACAACAGCGTAGGGCTAAGAGGGCTGAAGTTGGGCTCTAAAATTCCTTATCAGTCGGCCCCTCTCTGCCAATATAACCCATATTTTACCCTCAATTGCCTTGCTTTTTCAAAAAAAAAATTCAAATCTTGTTCTTTATTATTTATTTAATAAATTATAAATCTAAATCTACTCATGTCTATAGGGTAGAAGAAGGGAAGCTAGAGGAAGAAAGGGGAGTGCTTCTAATGAATATAGAACTCATAACTTAAGGAATATGAAAAAACAAAAATAAACAATGATCAACTGATCAAATGTGTTTGCTCTCATCTTTTTTATTATTAAATCTTCCTCAATCACATTATTTAGTTTTTCAACGAGTATATCATATCTAAATATATTTTTCTTTATCAATCTAATTATGTATCTTAATAAATGATTACTAATATAATCATTTAGATAATAATACTTGTTGATTAGTATGTCATTATCTAAAAGTGTGCAGGTGGAAGTATTCGTCTCTTTGAAATTTTTAAAATCTCTTATATTTTAAATTTTTTATATATTATTTATTGATAATTTATTTCATTCTCCTAAAATTGTATATGTTCGTTCTCCTTTAAAATTTAATACATCAGCCTCCCTAACATAAAATTCTATGTTAAGACGAACCAACTTTTGTGAATATAAATACAAAAGTATTTTAACCTTTTCTTGGGATTATTACAAGGGAAAAGACTTCCTACTTGTTTTATTTTTCTTTTGGGAGATGAGCGTTGGAGCCTAAAGGCACTTGAAATTAACGTAAGTGCCATTCATTTGGTATTTTGCTATTTGGTATCTAAATGACAAAAGAAAGGAAGCTGCATAAAAAGGTGGGGAAAGGGTGGCGCATGTGGTCCTGCCATAAAGCATGAGAAAATGGAAACCTCTTTGTTCATTTTCGCTCTCTTCTCCTTTGCCTTGGCTTGACTTGCGATATTAGAAAATATAATTGAACAAAGGTATAATGACAAAATTAACCTTAATAGTTGTGAAAATGATTATTTTTTTTATAATTTTAATTCAAATTTTACTTTTTTATCGAAATAATCTCATTTGAATAAAAATCGTTAGTTGACTAACAGTAAACACATATTCTTAATTGATTATGTGGCATATATCACATTACTTGAAATAATGACATGGCATGTACCATATTATCAAACCAATGACATGACATATAATATATTATCTAAAATGATAATATGACATATGAAATAATGATGTGACATTTATTATGTTATAAACAGATGATATGAATATTAATAATTAAACATATATAAAAATATAACATCAATAATATGAATTGATTGTTAGTAAAATAATTATTTCCATTCAATAATGATTATATTAACCAAAATTTGAAACATAGAAAACTAAAACAATCCAAAAAAACAGATTAAAATGATCATTTATACAAACAAATGTTGAGACTAATTTTATCATTATGTCTCTAATAAACCTATATATTTTAGATGGTCTCAGGTGGTTGTTGTCTGGTGTCTCTCTCTGTCTGCAACCTCTTCTGATTTCTCTGATAAAGTGAGTTTTTAAGAAGGACTACTGCCTGCGTATGGCCATTTCAACTATGGCACTGAAAAACATGGTGCTTTTTATAATATAAGCAATCAAAAGGACAACAAATGCAATGAATATGACAACCCTTTTCTTTTCTTTTATCATCCACACTTTCTTTCCATCCAAGCATTGAATTTGTGTTTGAAACTTGAATAGGGTCAACATCTTTGAATGGTTCTTCCTATTTTCTAGCTAAAATGGTCCCCCAGCATATTCCATGTGCCATTCATTCATAAGAAGACTGTGTCTTTTTTCCTCTCCTTTTTAAACATAGCTAGCTACCCTTCACTGTATACAAATCATGCCTAAAATCTAACCCATTTTTGGCACCCTTTCTTTCTGTTCTTCCTTTTTTTCATTCCTTTTTGTTTTGCCTTGCTTTTCTTGAAGCATAAGTAAAGTCCATCAAGACAAAAAGAAAAGCCTGTAATTTAGCATTAATTTTTTAATATATGTTTGTCCTTCAATGCTGCATACTTCATTCAGGCCAAGTGCCAACTCCCAAGACAAAGATTCGAGTACACTGATGTTTATAACTTTCACATGGCTTCCTTGCAATGAGAGATAGGGAGAATCCCATGGCGATTTTTTTCCTTTTCATATAGATGTTGTTTCACTTTACTACATTACATTAAATTGCATCATCTACTTTTCTGTTAAACAAAAGATGTATTCAGACGAATGTATGATTTTATGTGAACTACGTGATAAACTCGGATTAAAACAAAGAGATTTTAAAGGCTAAGAATCGATAATTTTCGTTGTATGATCAACTTGCCGCCACTCTACTTCCCCTTCTGTTGTGGCTGAGGACAGGTAACTGATAGCAAGTGAGGTCTCATCAGCTGGAACAGCAGCCGTTGATGTTTGGAATTGGTGCTTGCAAGCTTGACAAGTGATTTGTATGACAGTAGCACTTATCTTTTTCGTTGCTTGATCTTTCAAGACTTGAGCCTTTTCGAGTTCACCTTGGGCTTGTTGCCTTATCCTTTTAGCACTTGCAAACTCGAGCTCGGCCATCTCAATCAGCTTTTTCGCTTCTATCCTAGCATTTTCGGCATAGGTGTTCTCGGTCATGGCCAACTTTAGCTGCTCACCTGCGAACTCCTTCAAGTTAGTAGCTTCCGATGCTGCTTCACTAGCATTCTTTTCCCTAAATGTATCCAAACCAAGCTTGTTGACTTCACTCTTTTCGCCACAGTCACTCGACCCTATCGAAAGCCTCAAATAAGGCGCGCAATTCTCATCTGAATTCCGCGGTGACTGAGTGATTGATGATGGTAGAAGCTGAAGTTCAAGGTTGCGTTGCAGTTGGTGTCGGTGTTCATAAGTAGACGCATTGGCCTGTAAGAAAGCAGCGGCCATACCAAAGTTGGTATCGCTTAATGGACTAGTGCTTGAATCTGTTCGAGACGAGCAGCCAATGTGCAGCGCCTGCGATTCAGGCCGTTGAACTCCAAGTCCTCGACCGGTGCAAGCATCTTGGTGTTCGATGAATCTCTCCACCCTGAAACGACAAAAGAGCAAAACAACAATTCAAAAAAATATTAGATTAAGCAATCAAATCTAGTTCATGTAGGGTTAGCGAGGAACAAAGCAATATAAAATTGATCTAAGTATATCTTTATTATGGATTACGTGGGTGGGTTTGGTTTACAATATTAAAACGCTAAAAAAAACTAAAAAGCATTATAAAATTTAATATGTTCGTTCGATATAATACTTTAATTATTATTTTTATATATAAGGTTAAAAACCAGACAAATTAAAGACCTGTTCTCGGGAATAGGAAATGCAGTGGCCATAAATTTTGATATTCGCGAAAGCCTAGGTCACAAGCAAATGGAAACATGAGGTCATTTTGTACTGTAGATTAAACCATTCTTGGCTTTTGTTAAAGCTTGAAGAACCGAACAAGAACAAAGGGAATACTCGATACTTAACAGTACAAAACTTATAAAAACCAGTGAATATATATATGTGTGTGGTTTTTGTTCATGGAGGATAACTATTTTTAGGGTTTGAATACGAAAATATAGAGAAAAAGTATCATAATCACATACGAATAAGAAATATAGTAAAAAGGAAAGTAAAAAACGTGTGGGTGTTTCTGGAAATCTAATACAAGGGAATGAAGGAAGAAGATAAGGGTAATAATAATAAGGTGGTCGGGGTTGTTGTACCTGGAAAAAACACGGCCACAGTCACAAGAATGGCCTCTGGTGCCACAAATCTTGAGATGAGCCTTGTAATCGGACTGAACCGCGTAACCTTTGGAGCATTTCTCGCAAACCCATTTCTTCTGATTGCAGTGCTTCCTCCTGAAATGTTTCTTTATTCCGACCAGATCTCCCAGGGCGTGGCAAGGGTCATGGTGCAAGCAACTCGACTCGGGACAAACGTACACCCTCTTCTTCACCTCTTGCGTTTCTCTTTTCAGCAGCTTCCATGGAACCTTGTGCCTTCTCCTATGCATTTGAAGGTTCTGATCTCTCTGAAACCCTTGGTTGCAGATATCACAAACGTACCTGTCTGATTCCAGCAGCGTTCTTGGAGATAAAGAAACCACTTCTGCATCAGGATCTACATAAAGAATCCAAAACCAATTGAATTAAGAAGAAAAAAATAAGGTATTAAATTAACTACATAGTACATAAGTTCTTTTTACCTGGGGTACCTGCTGGCCTTCTTTTTCTTTTCTGACTGATCCCATTTTCGAAAGGATCAGAGGGAAACACTGGAACAGTAGTGTGATCCAACATGTTGCTATTGCTTTGAGCCTTTCTTAGAGTATATGTTGAAGATAAAACAAATCAATCAATCCTTTAGAAACAGGTGGTGGAAGATGGAAGAGTGGGGGAGGAGTGGGAATGTAGAGGAATTCAGCTTTAGTGATAATACCAATAGAATGGATAGACAGAGAAAGTAAAAAAAAAGGAAGGTTTATTTAAAGAGAGAAGGGCAGGAGGGAACATGAAGAAGAAGAAAAAGCTTGCCATTGCTTTCTGCAATCAGCTTTCTCTTAAGCTTTTTTGAAAGCTTTAAGCTTTAAGGACCCTTTTTTTTCTAGAAAAGAAAGGTTTTATTTTTCTTGGATTTGTTGTTTCATTGAAAAATGAAACCCACCTTCATCAGTTGCAGTTAATGTTGAAGGGCACCCAAGTCTTTGCTTATAAAGAGTTTAGAGAGTTTGAGCCCACCTCCACCATCAGACAAATCCTCATTTTTCTATTCACTTCACACCCTAATTTTGCATGAATTCCATTTTCATGTAATTATAATTATATTTAGGGTAAGTAATGTCACTCATCTATTTATGTAATTATATTTTGGTTATCAAATTATTGTTTTTTCAAAATCATGTTTAATATTACATTTTGATCGCCTTTCATTAAAAATAAATAAAAGTGTTGTTGTGATAATTTTTTCATTTTATTTAATGATGATGCAACATTATCTTATGGTCAGTGACAGAACTTGGTGATAGAGTTTGGGGGTCAACTTAAAATTTTGAAGAATTTATACATTTAAATTTAAATTTTCAAAGTTTTTGAAGGGTTCAGTATATATATATATTTTTTAAATTTGGTTATAACTAAAAAATTTAAAATTTTAAGAGTCTTAATGAGAATTTTCAAAAAAATTATGGGAGGGATTTAATTAAGAATATTTAAAAAATTTAAAAAAAATAATATGAATTTTTAAAAAATTTGTGGAGACCAAATTAAATATTTTAAAAATTTTAAAAGTCTAAACTATAAATTTTTAAATTTTGGGGGCATAGCCCCACTAGTCTCCATTATCTTCCACTGCTGCTTATGGTGATACATAAATGAATGGATGTCCCTTTTTCCCATATATATGGGATAAGGGGAGGTAAAATAATAGGCTACCCTCAACACCATGTTGAGAGTAGTTTCCATAAATATTATCATTAATTTTTTAACGGCATGTGACCAAAATATAACGTAAAATATGACTTAAAAAAATAGTTTGGTAACCAATATAAAATTACGATAATAGAATGATGACTAAATATGTAATTTATCCTTATGTTTATCAAATGTGGACTGAGTTTAGCCAATCCTCACGTGATTTTTGTAATATGGTGTGAGGTGAATAGGCAGTGGATTAATTAAGCAAAGGTGTAAACATAAATGAGAGCCAACTAAAAACCTGATTTAATGATTTTTAGGGTTTTGTCTCAGAGGGCAGCTTTTCTAAAGGTGGAGGAAGCAAGATTCGTCACTTTCAAAATGGCTGTAATCATTGCTGGAATAAACTTTTACCCTTTCTCTTCTCTTTTTTTAACTTTTAAATTTGTCCTTTAAAAACAAACTTTCAAATCTGAAGCAAACATTGGCCTCTCTCTCATTACAACTCCTTTCTATAAAGGTAGTAACAGAAGGAATCCTAATGATTTTAGTTGGTTGAAGGTCAATCAACTAATTGAGTTTCAAAAATTATGGTGGCACATGTAGTTATATATATAATTGATCAATTTATAGAAAAATTTAATATTAATATTATTGATGCAGAACAAATAGAATGGCAAATCAATGTGGTCTTAGTGGTGGTGATCGATGGAGGAAGGATTGGAATTAACGGTTCATCCATTCTGGAGTGGACAGAATGTCGTTTACTGTAGTTTTCTTTATATACTGTCCACTTCTAATATGTTTTGGAACTTCCCCTTCGTAAAAATTGTAGGACGATGATGTTATGTTGTAGGTCGAGAGCTCGATGTTTGATTATTAATCAAATTTATTCCTCTTGTCATGTGTGACAATGGACTCCTATTTATTATTCTCTTGTCTAGTATTTTTAGTGAAGCTTAGGAAAGATATAGCAGTTTTCGTAATTTATGAAGGTGCTGCTATTGAGGTTACTTCTCGTGCTCACATGTTTTTGGAAGTAACATGACTCATTTATCGAAAAGAGGTCTTGTTCAATGAATGATCTCTAAAAATGTTAGATTTCGTAACTTACGAAGGTTGTGCTATTGAGATCATTTCTTGTATCAACGTTCTCTTGTGCATGTACATTCACATGGCATGACCTCCGACCCGAGCCTCGTCCCATTTAAGTGAAGTAAACATTATGCCTTCGAGAGGTAAACCTATGTACATGATAGTGAGTTACTTCTAATATTCATATAACTTATGTCTTTTATAGGTAAACCTTCGTACAAGCATAGAAAAATGGAACTTGGTCCATATAAACCTCTAATAGGTGAGGATTGGAGGTCTTACTAGCCTTTGTATGCTATAGGACAATTTGGATACTCATCCTAAGACCAAAACCACATATAATTAACCCTAAAAGCCTAGCCTAATGGAGTCTTATTGAACCTTAAACCTAAGGCCTGTAAACGAACCGAACACACAAGAACGGAGGTATGTTCATGTTCGTTCATTTAATAAATAAACGAACATAAAGGAACACGAACATAAATGAACAAAAATTTTTTTGTTCATGCTCGTTTATTAAGGAATATAACTTGTTCATGTTCGTTTATTTAATAAATAAACGAACATAAACGAACATGAACATAAACGAACACGAACATAAACGTTGGAGGTCCTACATTCCATTGTTCTTTCATGAAAAATAATCGACAAAGCAAATCAACCAAATCTACAGTGATAAATAGTGTAAGAGCTGATTAGAAGTGATGAAATGTTTGAAGTTATCAAATATTTCGATCGATCTTTTAAAGATATTAAATGATTCACATGACTTTAATTTAACGCTATAACATTTATCTTAGTGGTCCATGATTACATATGAACAATCATTTTCCACTATGTTATTCTAATAAATTCGTCGACTAAAAGTTTTGTGACATCAATGTCAGACTTTAGTGAGGTTTGTTCATAATGGTCATGTCTGTTAGCAGAGTAGAAAATTTAACAGCATGAAGATTTCGAACAGTACAAATTAGACTACAAGGCAATAACATAGATCCGAAATCCCTTCGATTCTACATATCGTAACTGATATTATAGCTAAACCACCATTTAAAATTTTAACGTACCTAAAGTCTACTCCACAACTAAAGGTCACACAAGAACTATGAAAACAAAAGTTCATTGTCAAAGTGTATTTTCTACTTATTAATGGATTCTTCTTGGAAAACCCATTACTTCCACTATTACACTCTTTTTCAGAAATTGCATAGAAACTTGTGTTTTGTTTTCTGGCAAATTCTATATATTTTTCTCTTTACTGATGCTCATATACTTTCGATTGTTACCTTTATCTTCCCATCTATTTCTAGAAAGAATTATGATGTTTTCTTGAATTTTAGATGTGAAGATACCCGCAATAATTTTACATATCAACTATTAATCCAAATAAAACAGAGAAAGAGATGAAAACATACCTGTCAAAATTCATATTGCACTATAATATAACTTGTTTTGAAGCTTTCAGCGATCGTCTCCATTCTCCAGTGAACACTAGGGTTTGGGAAAAAAAGGGGGAAAATGAATATAGGTGCTAGGTGCCTCACGGGTTAACATATTGGATTTAATCTCCAAATAAAATTGGGTTAATTATAGAGTTGGTCATCAGAATATCAGATTAATTAATATTTTTAAGACACTTACAAATTGGCCACCAAAATTGATTTAAGAAGATTGGGTTAAACATAAATGAATGAACATAAACGAACATAACCGAACGAACATAAACGAACATAACCGAACGTTCACGAACGTAAATGAACGAACGATACCTATGTTCATGTTCGTTCATTTAATTAAACGAACATAAAATCTTATTCATGTTCGTTCATTTAATAAATAAACACACATAAACGAATTTCCCGCCGCACAGTTCATGAACGGTTTAATGAACGTTCAGTTCATTTACAGGCCTACTTAAACCTTTGTAAAATATCAATATAAATACATGGAAGAAGCACACACATCATCTTCTTTATTTGCGCCTTGTAATCAATAATGTGGGTAACATTCTTTTTTCATCTAATATGTAGGTAGAGATAATGAAGAATGACATTCGTATAGAAATCACGTTCGAGAAAGATTTGTAATAATGCATGTTCGGTAACAAAGATGTGAGAGTAGGATTTTATTTATTGTTATATTCTTTGTTTTCTATGTGATTTTATTTTTCATTTCATACACATAAACCTTGATTTGTGATGTCTACATCGTCCACCTAATCTCTATCCTTTCTAAAAGGGAATAATTAATCTGACTACAAATTATTTAGTTTCCAATTACAAATACATCCCATAATTATTGCATCTAATCTAATTATTGAGCATGAATCAAATGACATTTATGGTTAAATAGATGAGTGTTATTTTTATAATTCATGGATTCGAGTATGACTTTTGTAGGGATATTTGTACGCTTATTGTTAAAGAGTTGAGACCCTTTCAAACAGATATTACCTTATAATTACTTTCAATTAATAAAAAAATCTAACGGTTGAAATAAATAATTAAACAGATAATTGCAACAAAAAAACTAAAATCAAGCAATGGCAATTAATTAATCATGTGTTTGGAAATCCAAACTTTTCCTATTTATTTATTTATTTTTCATCAAATTTGTCATTGCTAGTTATACTTGGTTAAAGCAACTTATAAAAATGAATAGAGTTGTATAGTAAGTGCAACACTGTATCAATATTAATTTAGTAATTAGCAATAACTGTTGCATACTTTATTAGGTATAGCTTGATAAACAAAGTTGAATGACTTTCAGTTTTATACAGTACGACATAAAATTAATAATGGTAGATACATTCCCATTAATCCTGGCTCGGACTTCCTGATTAATTATTTCACTACCTTTTTCAGAATTAATCACAATGCTTAAACGTGTACATTTGTTTCATATCATGATGGTTGGTTTTGAATCCACATAGCGACATCAATGATAAAAAAATTATTATATCTGGACTCAAATCCAAATATAATTCGTTAACATATAATCACATCAGACTCTTCATAAAAAATCAGAGTAAATTTTAAATTTTCAAGATCATTCATTTTAATCGTAAAAGTTAAATAAGTTTAGGATAAATACTTTACGAAGTAAAGAAAACAATATTCGTTTTAAGATTCTACCTTTATTAAGAAATATATTTCATGAAAAAGTGTGAATAAAATGGTAACGGGGAATGTAATCATTT